AAATAGTTTTTTTAGGTTAAATTCATATTAGTGTTCTTCTCGGCCGAGTCTTGTACCTTGGACCACTATCACGTCTTGTACAATGGGCCGCGTCCCAAGGTACAATCTTTTGTAGGTGGATAAATAAACAGAGGTAAAAATAGTTCTTTTTTCTTTACAGATGCCTATAAGCAAAACCGGCGTAAAAAGAGCTCCCACAGATCATGAAAACCTATTAAAAGCATACAATGTAATTCAAGAAAAGCAAATATCAGTCCGATTAGCTGCATAGCAATTACATGTGTAACGGAAGAGACTTCAAAGATTTTTGGTCCGTGGTGCCAACAATTTCCTCTTTTATGGTGCTTGCGCAGTCCGAAAAGTATTTTCCACTAATTAGGAGAACGACTTATGTCAGAATTTAACTCAAGCGAGTCATATGCACTATGGACTTTCACGTCGCTCTTTGCAAATTTTAGTATTTGAATACGCTAAAGCTAACAATAAGCCAGTCCCACCGTAGTGGAATAATAAATTATCGTGCCGAAAACAGTGGTTCCCTGACTTTATGAGTCGCCAAAGCAAATTAGTTTAAGAAAGCCACAAGCCACTAGCCTATCTCGCAGAACCAGCTTCAACAAATACAATAATGTTTCATTATTTTATCAAAATTAAAAGAAGTCATGAATAAGCATACATTCACACCCAGTAAAAATATACAATATTGATGAGAGTGGTATCATGAATGTTCATGTTCCTTAAAAAATTGTAGCTTGCAAGGGTATTAAATAAGTTGGTTCCTCTACAAGTGGAGAAAGGGGTACTAATGTAACATTTATCGCTACTATAAGTCCTTCAGAGAATGCTGTCCTCAATATGTACATATTTCCCAAAGTGAATTTTAAGCCCTATATGCTGAAAGGTGCACCTGCTGATTCGGTGGGAACGGCTCATCCTAGTGGTTGGTACAATGAAGTCATATTCTTAGAATATTTAAGGCATTTTATACATATCACAAAGCCTTCCTTCGATGATAAAATATAAGTAATACTAGACAATCATGAAAGTTATATTACCCGCGAAATTATCAACTTAGCTATAGAACATGGGATCGTAATATTGACTATTGGATGATTGAATGGATAATAAGAAACTCAGGAAAACCAATATATATTTACGATGTCGCTGAAATTTATGGTCAGGCATATAAACTAGCATTATCTCGCACAAATATTGAATCTGGATTCAGAGTTTCAGTGATCTGGCCAGTGAATAAAAATGTATTTTAAGAACACGAGTTCTAATTTTCTTGGGTTACTGATAGAGATAATCCTGCTAATATCAATGAAGACATTTATTTCTAACCCCGTATTAATAATTATACAATAACTGCTGAAACTGAAGAATCTGAGCTACCATACAAGTCACCAGAGGTAGTCCGCCCATTACCTAAGACACCTCCAAGAACAAACTTACAAAAATATCGTAAAAGGGGAATGTGTCGAGTCTCAACAGATAAAAATCCACTAGGAAACTAAGTTCCTGTAGCTGGCTGTATACCATATATCACAAAAAATTTATTTAAAATCCTTTATAAAAGGTATATAATAAAATGCCCAAACGGGCTATCACAAAGATATTGCAAAACGTTTTCGGATTATTAAATCCATCATCAGTGCAAACCAAAATATAGGTCCAAACCCTTTAAATGATATAAATTTACATTTGATTTACATTATATGTGGTTACGAATTATGATGTTTAAGTTACAGTTGGAATTGGTAACATGGCGACGTATGACCCTACATAGGTAAAATGGTCCTGAGACGAAGTGTCTACGAGGACCTGTTGATAACAACTCAGTTGTTATCAACAGGTCATAATTTGTAATCACATATAATGTAAATCAAATGTAAATTTATATCATTTAAAGGGTTTGGACCCATATATTTTGGTGGCTCATAGCATGTATACCTCGTTTGCACTGATGATGGATTTAATAATCCGAAAACGTTTTGCAATATCTTTGTGATAGCCCGTTTGTGCATTTTATTATATACCTTTTATAAAGGATTTTAAATAAATTTTTTCTCAACAGATACACTTGAGAAAAATAAAATAGAAAACGATCACCAGCAATGAATGAACAAAAATATGAAGAACACAGCTGTGAAAAGAAAAGTTATGGACATCCAACCGAAAAAGCACAATTTAACAGGCAATAAAATTAAAAAGACTAAACCAGTATTTCTCCAATCGAAGGATCTCAACAATTCATCATCTTCTGACAACAACGACGTCGAAAGCATTCGTCACGATGATAGTTCGGATCCATCTTCCAAGTATGAGTCAGACATAGATTGGGAAGGACATATGTCTAAAAATAACAAACCAGACACACGAACAGAGTTTACACTGGAAACTGGTAGATTCTACCTAAGAAAGCTTATTGGAAAGAGGATCGTACGATTTTATGTTACTAAAATAGTATCTTTAACTCCAACAATGATGGTTAATTACCTGAAGAGAATCCTCTTATCTGAAAACTTCTGCCTGATTGATATAAAGGCATATGAAATCGAAAGGGAAGACATCATCGAAAGTGTTGTGGAAGTTCCCAAGAAATATGGATCCTCAAAACGTCAACAGGATATTTATACTTTTAACTTGGATTTTAAAAAGTATTTGGTTGAGTAAAGTTTAGGTCATTTAAATTGTTTGTTTTTCTGTTTAATATTAATAAATCATTGATTTATATCATTGGTAACTCATTTTGCTTAAAATGGTCCTTATTCTAAACAAAACTTAATAAGACAAATATTAAAAGGATTTTGTTCCTATGTAACTTTAAATGTGTCTGTTAATTATTAAAATAAAAGTTTTGGTAATTATGTTAACCAGTGGCCCAAGGTATAATACGTATTTTACCTTGGTAAAATTGTAGACGTTCAGGAATTTTTTATCTTTGAGGAAAACCAACTCATGTAATCAGTTGTTATTTTTATTTTACATACTAAAACAAGAGTTTATACCTGCCAGAGTGTTAATTTTAAAAATATAACTTCGATATTGTATTTGTAATACCTTTTTAAAAAAATCCTGCTTAAAGTAGAAGCCTCTCCCCTAATTCAGTTTTATATAAGTATTTTCAAAGGATAATCTTCTGGCATTCAATTGTCATTGTCTTCTGTCAAAAATGTGCTATCATGAATTTCCAAATCGAATTTACAGGATAGCGAAAAAGTACGAAAACACGATAATTTCTCTGAAACCGATGAATATACATTTATGAAATTCTAGGATCATGAATGTGATGATATTCTGCATTTTCTATAGTCTGTCAAATTTATGTGACGTCAGCGTTTACTGTATCGCCGCCAACTTAGATTTTTGAATGGCAACCTAGGTCGAGTGATATATCATAGAAAACCTTATTTTTCCTCTTTTCATCAATACCAAAAGAAGTACCATATTACTAATGCAATACACCATATCACTAATACATTACACGCAAAATTTTCGTACGTAATTGTTGAAGAATTTATGGTAATTTTGAAAAGTAATAATTAAAATGGAAAAAAAAGAATTTTTTTTAAAAAAGGTGCTCAAAGTGTTGGCCGTTTGTTCTCTGACAATAATACAATCTTGGAAGTTTCGATTAGAATCATTGATTATTTCTGGAGAAACTGCCTGCATTTTAAGAAATATGCGATTCTTTAAACCATATAAATTAGTTTCTCACGTGTCTTTCTTTTTCACTTGTCAAGTGTCAAGAGTCAAGTCGGAAGATCTTGACGGCCATTCAATTGCACCTCTTCGACCAATCCATCTATGGATAATAATAAAATAAAACACATATATGTGATAACAAAACACCAGAATACACAACAAAAATAAAAGTCGAAAGCTTACAGGATGACTTCACAAGATACCTATTCCAAAAAAGAATAACCGAAAAAAGCAGAAATACATATATCACAGAAAGCGATGGAGTCGAAGAAAGCTGGGCAAAAATTAAGTCTAATATCTTAGCCTCGGCCAAGCAAGTTCTTGGTGAAAGAATATAAATAAAAATAAATCGTTTCCAAGGCCGAGAACTCAATGGTTTTGTACAGAAGTGAAGAAGCTCATGGTTAAAGAATCTACGTGATTGGTACCAATGCAGATCGATTGATTTGTTTAGAGCAGCAAGTTCTAAAATAAAAATAGCCATTATGATTGCCAACCTCCGTAGGGAGACGGCACTCTAAGAAGAAGAAGAAAAAAGTAAAGAAAAGAAAAAAGCTTACCTGAAATACACGTCAACCAAAACACAAAAAGCATACCATAATTACAAGACAATTAGAAATAAAATACAGGCACTTGTAAGAAACATAAAAATGATCACTGGGAACGCTTTTCGAAAGAAATGGAACATGATTTTTAAGGTCTTCAAAAGAAAATATGGCGCTTCATAAGAGGTCAAAGAACGGAGGCAAAGGAACTAATAAAACCAAAACACATTGACTATCTAAGAAGCTATATGCAGAGAAAGAACAAACGACGCTATAACCGGAAGCACCAGAAAGTTCGGAACATACTTGAAAACCTAAAGAACAAAAAAACAGCAGGTAAAGACGAGATACCAAACGAGTTACTGAAATATTGTGAAGCAGCAATGACAGAATAATTAATAAAATTAACAGAAATAAATCAAAATACTCTGTTATGCAGACGACGCAATATTGATAGTCCAAGATGAAGATAGTCTGCAAAGACTGGTCCACAGATTTAACATAAGAGCAAAAGAACTTAATATGACAACCTCATCTCAGAAAACTAAAACAATAGTAGTCAGCAAAGAACCAACCAGATGTAAAATAGAAATTGATGGCATCAATATTGGACAAGAAATGGAAATAAAATACCTGGGAATTACACTGTCTAGATATGGAGACCTGGACTAAGAAGTGAGCGATCAACTACAAAAAGCCAATAGACGGAAAGGCTGCCTTAATAACATTATATGGCGAAACAGGCACATTAACACTGAGATAAAATCAAGAATTTATAAAGCCAGTGTAAGACCAATAATGACATATGCCTCAGAAACAAGAACCGACACAGTCACAACGCAAAGGCTACTGGAAACGGCTGAGATGGGACTACTGAGAAGAATTACGGGAGATACGCTAAGAGATCAAAGAGAAGTGAAGATATTAGAAGAAAATGTAACGTGCAGTGTATAAATGAATGGACACAAAATGGAAAAAAGCAATGAAATAACCACATAAGCAGAATGGAGGAGACTCGTGTCGTCAAAATAGAAAGAGCTAATTCACCAATCAGCCGCAAAGTATCGGACGACAGCGGAAAATATGGAGTGACAACCTTCCATAGAGGTATTAATCCGCAAATGAAAAAGCAGAGTTGCTTATAAAGAGGAAGAAAAAAATTTTATGATAGTGTCTAGGTGCGCTATCCTGTTAAAACACACTGTCATATTTGGAAATAAATTGATTATTTCAGGAATAAGTTTATGCTGAGAGGATCAAGATATTTTACACCGGTAAGTGCGCTATCAATAAAAAAACGGACCTATTAAATGGTTTTTACTAAACCAGTCCACTCATTTACTTTTTGTGGATATTATGTTTGAGTTTTATCCATCCAGTGTTGATTGGAATCTGACCAGTATCGGAAATTATGTCTGTTAATAGTATATATTAAATAATACTATTATTTCTAGATAGTCCAATTCTTTAGAGTAAATGTAAATGTTTTAGTATTTCCTTGAAGATCTTGAACATCGTTGAACATCCTTGAAAAGTGAAAAATAAAAATGGTTTAATAAAATTACAATGTAATAGAATTTTTCCTAATATAAGTGATATGGGACTTTTCTGGTATTGCTTAAAGGAGGTAAAAATAAGCTTTTCTATGTTATATCACTCGATCTAGGTCGCTATTTAAAAAAATCAAGATAGCGGTGATACGTTAAATGCTTTCACATAAATTTGAAAAGTTTTATTTCTAGAAAATGCAAAATATCAGCTCATTCATGATCTAAGAATTTCATAAATATATATTCATTGGTTTCAAATAAATTTCCGTATTTACATAATATGTTTACATACACTTTCGCTGCCCTGTAGACAAGGAAAAATAATTCGCTAAAAGAACTACAAATTACTTTGCTAAAGAGCGATACAAAAATGATTCAAGAAAAAATATTTTGAAAGATATTGATATACACATTCATTATTATATTGTGCAACATCAATATCATTAGATTGCATATTTATTGATAATTTAATGATGTTGTTTACACTCATTAAAAAAATAAAACAAAATATCTGTTAGTGTTTGTTATTTAATAAACCTAAATATGTAACAAACTAAAACTAGACAAGGTCAGTTTATGAGATTATACCTACATACTATGATTATTTCTTTAATATTTAATGTTTATTTTGACAACAGACTGTGCTTTACTACTATTCGATTAAGTGAAATATACTGCTCCACAATTGAAATGGATATTAGAAAAATACATAATACCATGGAATAATACAGTGGAACTTAAATATTACGGCCTCGGTAGTTACGTCATGTCGATTGTAACGTCCATTTTTAATAGGTTTGGCCAAAAACTATTCGATAAGATTATTAACAACCCGATTTTATCGGCTAGTAAGCCTCGTCTATAGTTTCATAAAATTTTACAGTAGGTTGTCGTTTTTTATTTTATAAAGTGCAATGCGTTTCCAGCTTTGCGGCATTGTTCCTTCCAAGAATGTGATAAAGCCCGATTTTCCCTTCTGTGTACAGTTATGTGATATTGACAGTTCTATGATTTCTTATTTATCAGTGCCATCCTAAACGCTTTGATTTTTCATTTATCAGTGCCATCCTAACAGTCAATTTTTCTGTTTCAGAACAGTCAGTTTAAGAAATTTTCGCTACCGTGAAATTGTGTTCGTATCGGCTTTTATTTTCGGATTTTAATTTAGTAATTAAGTTTTTATTTTTTTAATATGACAAGTTGTAGTACTAAAAGGAAGGGTTTGCCTCTTAAAGAAAAAGTGCGTGTAATAAGCGTGTGTCAAAAAATTGCTGATGTAAAAAAAAAAAGTCGGTAATTTGGACTTTTAATTCGACTGTCGGCTCAATCCTAAAAACAAGGACAAAATTTTAAAAGTTTTTAATGAGGAGGTAGAAAATGTTAAAACGATTAGAAAGTGCATTCGTGGTGATGTATATTCAGATTCAGCTCTACTCAAATGGTGCAAGCAGTGTCGCAGTTCTGATATAGTGATATTCCTGTGTCTGGGCCACCTTTAAAGCTACAGAGTTCGGAAAACTGTTTGGTGAAGATTTAACATGCTCTAACGGCTGACTAGATCGGTTTAAAGCGCGGCACTCAATTTCCTTCGCAAAAATTGTTGGGGACGCGAAATGTGTGGACGAGAACGTGACGAAAACTAACACAAGGATGAAGATATCTTCAATGGCGATGAAACTGGTGTCTTTCACAAATCAAAATGTGTCGGTGGAAAGTTTTCAAAACAAAGAGTCACGGCTTTTGTTTGTGCAAACATTACAGGTACAAAGGAAAGAACGCTTTTGGTTATTGGAAAAAGTTTACATCCTAAATCTTTTACAAACATCAAAACACTGCCTGTAACCTACACAGCCAACAAAAAAGCGTGGATGACTTCTGCTATGTTTAAAGAAGAATTGAGAAAGTGGAACAAGAAACTCTCTTAAAAAAAAACAAGAAAAAATCTTCTCTTTGTGACAACTGTGCATCCGATCTCAAGCTTAATTTGACGAATATTCACCCAGTTTTTTTACCAGCCAACTGCACGAGTGCCTTGCCACCTTTAGACCAAGGAGTCATAAGAAGTGTAAAGTGTCATTATCGAAAACAGCTTTTGAAAATGATGATTTTTTGTGTGAACAATGGGAACCCGTGAACATTATCATGCTTGAGCAAGTTCAGTTTTTAGACAATGAGTTACGTCAATTACAATTTGTAAGTGCTTTTGTCAAGCTAAATTAACTGTAGTTTCTCCCAATGTTCAGAATGTTGACGAGGATGATGAAATGCCTTTGTCAAAGTGGATACAAAAATTTAATGTAAACCAGAAAGAGGCTGGAACTGATGTCGACTCCTACATTTAAGTAGATGATCAGGTAGAAACATTTAAAGTTTTAAGTGATGAAGAAATTGTGGAACAAGTGCAAAATGTGAAAATTGATGTTGATGAAGATAACGAAGAATAAGAAGAAGAAGGCGGCGTTGACTGTCCTACAATCCAAGAAGCAAAGAGAGCTGCTGAGACCATATCTAGGTTTTATCAGTGAAGGGAGGCATCCACAACTACCAAAGAAGCGGCTCAGATTATTAAGGAGGCTACAGAAAAACTTTATTTTTCGGAGAGGGCTGTGCAGAAGAAAATAACTTGGTGCTTTTAGCATTAGAGTACTTTTTAATAAAAAATATACGTTTCATATACATGATATGTTTTATTTCAATTTTTTTAATCCTAAATGCAACCATAATAATAAATAATGCTGTATTACAATTTTGCCTCGTTACAATTTAATTTTTTTCTACCTCGTTTATAACGTCACTCTGATGAAGCGTTATTTTTTACTGGACTCTTTAATGACGGTATAACCAAGTTCCACTGTATGTTATAACTACAAGTCCAACTTCTTTTAGAGGATGGTTTAATCCGACATGAATCACATATAAATCAATACTTCAACATGTAATAACAACTTTAGAAACTATGTCGCTAATTCTAATCGGTACACAAAGAATCTTATCCTTTTGGTGCCGACTCCACTGATGAAGATTGACTATAACCATTGCAAATTCGTTTTTATCTTCTGATTTTTTTAAAAACGTCTGTGTGTTTAACACGCTACAATTGCGAATATTTTTCAGCCAGGATATTTGTCGTCTACCAGGACCCCTTTCTCCTTCGATTTTACCATTCAGAGTAAATGAGCTGCAATAACTTGTACTTCTCATTACACAATGTCAACAAGTGTGTGATCCAAATATGCTGTCTTTCTTCTTTTAATGGTGGTTAAAAGCTGTCTGTCTCTTTCCATTCTGCGCAACACCATTTTGTTCGTAATATGATCGGCCCATGGTATTTTCCAAATTACTCTAAAAAGACACTACTCAAAAGCACAGCTTTCTCTTCAAGTCAACAGAGTGAATAGGTAAATAACATTTTACCATACAATATCGGATTTGAACATTGGGACCATGGTTCCCAATCGAGCCAGTCATTGCAGGATATAGAGGTCACCGTACTGGCCTGTGATATTAGAACTACTAGTTATTTATGGGGCCCCTCTTATGTAGAGGTATGATTATAGCCTTTCTCCAATTATCAGGCCAGACGTCTACGTGCCATAATATTTCATTATATAATAGATGTAATATTCTCACTCCACATACCGGAAAATTGCTCAAGACATAAGCGGTAATGAAATCATAGCCTGCTGCTTTGTTTAACTTAGTCCTTTCAGAGAAAATTCAAGCTTTGAAAAAAGGATGTCAGGATTACATTTAAAGACAGTGTGATATGTCTCTGTTAAAGGTGACTTCAAAGTGCAGGCCTTCCATCCAGGTATATTTGGGGTCTGTATCTGTAGAGTAGGGAGGGCGAGTTAAGTTTCACAGCACTTAGGCCACAATTGACCCATTGTGCATCCTCCCAGGGAGCTGTCTCCCTTAGCTCATTGTCCATCCTGCCATTTCTAGGAAGGTGGACAAGTCACCAGGAGACATCTCACTTATGTGGTCAGGTGTAGGCCAGGACTCGCCGAACGCGTACTCTCGTATTAACGATAACTCTGGGCATTCACATAGGACATGCTCTACAGTTTCGTCTTCTCGTTCACACTTCCTACATAGAGGTGTGTCTACTAGCCCCAGTGTGTGGAGGTGTTTGCTTAGTTGACAATGACCAGTTAAAAAACCAACTGCCAAACGTAGATTTTTCCTGGTCATTCCCAAGTACTTCTTTGATGTTGACTCTTCAAGGTTACTTAGTGTTAACCTGGCAAGTCTACATCCTTTCCCTTCTTCCCATCTTTTTACGGTTTGCGTATGGGAGTGACATTTGACAATTTCCGCGATTGTTGTAGTTGACCAACCAAAAAGATCCCCAGGTCCTAGGAGTCTTAGGCCTGCCGCCTTCCTAGATAATTGGTCAGCAATGCGGTTGCCTTTATTCCTATTGTGTCCTTTAA